TCCACCAGATTGATGGGAGTTTTCTGGGTATTTTGTCACCATGCCTCTGTAGCCCAGGTGTGAAAGGCCACCACCTGGTTCTCTGTTCATACTTTTTCAGAAGTTTTACCAGGTGGATTTCCATTCTCCTGTGGATGCAGCTTTTAGCCCTAAGGTTCTTGCCATGACACTCTAAAGTTGGGTCTTTTTGACCGTTATTGTTGGCCTGTTGGAACATTTCTGTTTGTCTCATTATTGCCCACTCTTCTTATTCATTGCTTGGGGGACTTCCCAGGGTCTTTAAATAGTTTGCCTGCATCCTGTCCTGTATGATTAAGATAAGAGTAATTTTGACTTGCTTATAAATTCCATGTCTTGGGGTACAGCACAGGACACAGGCTGCCCTCCTTTCTATTTCTGGTACCTGCCTGGGACAAAACTGAGAACTCACGAAGTGGTGTAGGGTTATAGAACAGGCGCCCAGTGGGACTTGTCCTTAAAAGCTTGCCAGTATCCAATCATACTAAAGGTGCAAACCTATACCCATGGTGTATGCGTAATTTGCCTATGTCCTGTAGTGTATTCCAAATTATAGAACTTACAGGTAAGTCAACATTCCTCTTCTTACAGTTTGGTCCCCTTTGAGATAAAGTAGATGTATGTCATATCATATGTTTCTGAGTGCTTTGTAACTATAGTTATGAGTACCTACCTGCTGTGAACACTTTCCCGATGCAATGACAAGAGCAATGGGCAGGTGAAGCCCCCCCTTTGCATTCTTCTTGTGGTTGCTAGTCTCAGGAAAGTGTTCACTGTCACAACACACTGCGGCTATGAATCTGCTGTCTCCTTCAAAGCTATTGTCCGAATGGCCACGCCAGATTCAGTATCTATAATTAGGGTAAAAGCACTTAGAAACATGGGACAAAGTACATGTGCTTTGCCCAATAAGGGGAAGAATTGAAAAGTAAAAGTTATAATGGTAGTGTAAAGGAATCCCGGTGAGACAATTGGCGAATATTAAATGTGCATGCTCATAGAAATGTCCGGAGAAAAGTGAGCAGTCGTGCGCATGCACACAGAAATGCGTGATCACGCACGGCAAAGATTGGCGCCAGACGGACTATTTAAAGGGTGCCTCAGCCTATGCTAAGTGCTGACTGGTCTTCAGCTGTTCCCCGTTTCCTGCTTGTTACTGTGTGATTCCCTTGTTGCTGACCCGACTTGTTCCTGACCTGACTCTTGATTACTCTCCTGCATGATACTTGTTCCTGACCTTGGCTCTGCTCCTGACTTTGGCTTGCTTATGATTTGGTACCTTGCTGTCAGCCTGTTGATGACCCCAGCTATTCCTATGACATTGCTCCTGTCTCCCATCCCAGCTTCCTGCCTTGCTCTGGAGCGCGCCTGGCGATCTACCATTCCAGCTCTGCATATCGCTACTGTTCCTGAATCGGTGACAGGTAGGCTGTGTAGCCTGGAGCATCATGGAGTAGGATGCTGGTGACCAGAGCTCTACTCACAGCACATCCTTTTTCTCATCCTATAGCCTTGCTAACAGATATTTTTTTTCCACCAAACTTGCTCTGAGAAACTATTACAGGCACTGACGTCTTCACCTCAAAAGATTCTGGAATCAGCATCCAAACTGGACAAATATCTTTGAGAGTACAAAGAGTCACCCAGGTAAGATGGCGGACCCTACTCCTCTGATGTGGAACATCCTACAGCTAACACAGCTAAGGTATTGGAGGCTAGTTGTGCATGTCGAATTACCCTGATTACTAAAATTAGGGAGGTAAAGATGGATATTTATTTAATCTGTTCAGATCTGCACAAACTGTGGGAGCAGGTGACTGAATCTGAGACAAGGTTGAGCAGAGTAGAAGATGTGTTCCCCCTCCCCCGCTGCAGAACACTCTCAGGCATATGCAGCAACAGCTCCAAACACCTTGGATCTTGAAAACCATCTGCGCTGCAGCATCTAAAGATTTATTGGGCTCACAGAGAGAGCTGAAGGTCTGGACCCTACAGTATTCTTAGAGCACTTACTCATTTATACTTATGGAAGGGACTAATTTTCCTTTACTTTTATGATTGAGTGAGCTCACGACATGGCAGCTAAGATGTCCCCTTTGGGTGTATCGCCTTGCATGTTAATAAGAAATTTACGGTCCTCCACCTTGCTAGAGACCAAACGATCCCCAGTGAGGCCGCTTCCACCAGGCCGCCTCTGGGAGTGGTCATCCAACAGGAAAAGGGCCCTCCCTCAGACCCCTCAACAATCAAGTCTGTCCTGCTCTTCTCCAGGCTGAGAATGTATCTTTGATTACCCGCGTTGTGTTTCACCGTTGGACTTTCCGGATGGGACTGTGAGTTTGGCCCTTAGGGCTTTTCCAGTTGTTAGCATTCCAGGCTAGGCCTGATCTGACCCATTCCCTTGGGTTCCATCACTGAATGAGGGGAGGGTCTCCTCCTGGACTTGCAGATTATGACTTTGTGCTGTCTTGGCCTACCACGGGTGCCGTTGTTCGGGTTTCTGTTTGGGTATGGGGTGATGGTTCCCTCGGGCTCCGGGGTGGGTGGTAAGCCTGATCGGGTGTTAGCCCTATTGGGAGGTGGGGGACCACTTAGGCTGTGTAGTGGTTCTACAGCAGCCTGTAGCCGTCCTCCTGATGGGGGTTGGCCCCCTAGTTTAGCTGGGTTTTCTATCGGGAGGTTATTGCGGATGTGCTCACTTCTGTGACTCTTAGTTTATTACTTTGGTATCCCGTTATACTGTGTTTATTGCCTTTTTGCCCTCTGATGGCTTATGTTTTTGATGTTTTTACTTTCAGCCATGTGTCCGGTGGTAGAGCCACCCCCAACCGGTATCCTTCAGGTGTAAGAGGATGCATGCCACCATTGACGTGACACGTTTGTACTGCTGTATATATTTCTTGTTTCTTTTTTTTTTCTCCCTTCTTTTCTTCTCTGTTTTTTTTTTTGTTTTATCCTCATGCAGGGTCTCTGGATGCCATGGCCTGAACGCCATTGGGAATGGTAACTGTTGGCCGACCTATGCTTTTTTTGCTGAGCGTGCTGTGCTGATACCGCCATGGCCTCACCCCTTCTGAAAGTATACTCACAAAATGTTCAAGGTTTAAATTTGCCTCAGAAGCGGGCTAACGTTTTTCATCACCTCAAATCGCAACAAATTGACGTGGTATGTTTACAGGAGACTAGGTTTTCTCAGTCCTCTGCTCCACGGTATCTTTCGCCTCACTTTCCCACCTTTTACACGGCCTCGGCCCCTGAGAAACTCCGGGGTGTACTAACAGCTTTCAAGCGCAATCAGCGGGGCTGGCGGACATCTGGAGGGAACTCCACCCAACTGAGCACGACTTTACATTCTATTCCAACCCTCATGACAGTTTTTGTAGAATTCATGTATGTCCAGCAGCTTCCTTTGGTCAGGCGGATAGCTATTCCCTCCTCGCCCTGGTCGGACCATGATCCCCTGGTACTCCTCCTGGCCCTTTCTGGGTCAGTACGGCACCCCTTTCACTGGTGCATTAATGATTCTTTATTGACCACTCAGGTCACCTGCCAACACATAGAATCTTTTTTACGCACGTACTTCACAAAAAACCCGGGATCTGTTTCTTCGGCAGTACCCCTGTGGGAGGCACACAAAGCCACGGTACGGGGTCAGGTTATACAGCTGGTGTCAGGAATGGACTCGCCAATAGTGGTGGGACTCACCTGCCTTGTGGGTTGCAGTACCAGGACTGGCCAGCGGGTGCTCTCAACAACCAGAGGCTCACTCCGGCAATTAGCCACCACCTGGGACTGATTGCAGGTGGTGTATTTAAGAGATGGCCAGACCTGCAGTCAGTGCCTTGTACTGTTTGCTTGGCCCTGGTTTCCTGATCCTGTTACTTCTGTCCTGACTCTGCTTGAACTCTGCCTGTACTGACCTCGGCTAGTCCTGACCACTCTCCCGCCTGCTCCTGGTACTCCGTTTGCCCGTTTGCTACCGACCCGGCCTGTCTGACTATTCTTGTATGTTTGTTATCTGTTGGAGGTTTGGTTCAGTTTGTTTGTACTGTGTTTATGTTTAGTTTTGCACTGCGTTTGTATTGTTAGTCTTAATAAATTATATTATTTACTATATCTGAAGCCTGCATTTCCCTGTGTCAGTCCACACACTTCTGGTCATACCCGCATCCCTGACATTACAACAAGGCCATTCCTGACCAGAAGTGGCTGCACAGGGAAACCATCTTGGCTTGTTGCTGGGAAGGATGCATCCTGATGAGGTTGTGTATTTGTTGCTGCTGGTCTTTGATGACAGAGAGTATGCTTATCAGACTCTGACTGAGTATACCCGGGATCAACTGCTAGAATGTATACGGGTCGCTCATGTTCTAGTAGATCAGGGCACAGAGTTCTCTGAGGTGCAACCTTTGTTTTAGGTTTGTGCAGAGTTGGCTTCATCTGGTACCCCTGAAAGCAGGAATGACTTTTTGCCACCATTTAGTGCAGACCAGGTAGAGTCCCTGGTATGGTTATTAGAGGATGATGTAGATTGCTTCTTGGAGCATTATGCTGCATGTTCACAACAGGTATTAAGGGATTGTATAAACGCAGTGCAGTCTTTGACCAGACAGGCTTTGTGTAAGCTGAGCTTTGTTCAACCCATACTGCAGACATGGTCAGACTTGTTGCACCCAGCCTCAGTCAGCTTGCAACGTCATTCCTCTGCTCAAGGCACTCTTCCTGCATCCCCGACAGCACCCCCAGTGACGGCCCAGTATACTCTGCTAACTACCACATATCAGTCCTCTGCTCCCACTCGCTGCACCTATCCTGCCTTTAACCCTGTAAAGAAGTCCTCTGTAGCAACTGCTCCCTCCTCTGTTCCATCCCCCAGCTCTTCTCTGTCTTCATCTGCTCCATCCGTTTACAAACCTGCGCTTACTTACAGTGCTCCAGTAACTAAAACCAGGAAAAGGCGAAAATTCTTTCCAACCAATACCATCCTGCCAGTATCCAAACCGGTCAGCCTGCCATCTGAGAACCCGCCTTCCGTGGTGCAGCCTGGTGCCTTGGTGCCCACAATTCAGCCTGATGTCTCTACCCAGCCTGATGTCTCTACCCAGCCTGATGTCTCTACCCAGCCTGATGTCTCTACCCAGCATGATGTCTCTACCCAGCCTGATGAACTGATCCAGCCTGATGATCCTATTATGCCAGGTGACTCGGTGCCCGCTGTCGAGCCAGACGATCCAATGCCTGACGACCCGGTACCCGCTGTCGAGCCAGATGACCTGATGCCAGATGACCCGGTGCCCACTGTCGAGCCAGATGACCTGGTACCCGCGGTCGAGCCAGATGACCTGATGCCAGATGACCCAATGACTGCTGTCGAGCCAGATGACCCAATGCCTGATGACCCGGTGCCCGCTGTCGTGCCTGGTGACCCGATGCCCACTGTCGAGCTTGAGGACCCGATGCCCGCTGTTTTGCCAGATGACTCGGTGCCCGCTGTTTTGCCAGATGACTCATGCCCGCTGTCTTGCCAGATGACTCGGTGCCCGCTGTCTTGCCAGATGACTCGATGCCCGCTGTCTTGCCAGATGACTCAGCGCCTGGAGTCTTGCCAGATGACTTGGTGCCCGCAGTCTTGCCAGACGACTCAGTGCCCACAGTCTTGCCAGACGACTTGGTGCCCGCAGTCTTGCCAGACGACTTGGTGCCCGCAGTCTTGCCAGATGACTCGATGCCCGCTGTTCCACCAGATGACTCGGTGCACGCTGTCTTGCCAGATGACTCGGCGCCTGCAGTCTTGCCAGATGTCTCGATGCCCGCTGTTCCACCAGATGACTTGGTGCCCGCTGTCTTGCCAGATGACTCGGTGCCCGCAGACTTGCCAGATGACTCGGTGCCCGCAGTCTTGCCAGATGACTCGATGCCCGCTGTGTCCGCCAGATGACTCGGTGCCCACTGTCTTGCCAGATGACTCGGTGCCCGCAGTCTTGCCAGATGACTCGGTGCCCGCAGTCTTGCCAGATGACTCGGTGCCCGCAGTCTTGCCAGATGACTCGGTGCCCGCAGTCTTGCCAGATGACTCGGTGCCCGCAGTCTTGCTAGATGACTCAATGCCCGCTGTTCCACCAGATGACTCGGTGCCCGCAGTCTTGCTAGATGACTCAATGCCCGCTGTTCCACCAGATGACTCGGTGCCCGCAGTCTTGCCAGATGACTCGATGCCCGCAGTCTTGCCAGATGACTCGATGCCCGCAGTCTTGCCAGATGACTCGATGCCCGCAGTCTTGCCAGATGACTCGGTGCCCGCAGTCTTGCCAGATGACTCGGTGCCCGCAGTCTTGCCAGATGACTCGGTGCCCGCTGTTCCGCCAGATGACTCGATGCCCGCTGTTCCGCCAGATGACTCGGAGCCTGCTGTCTTGCCAGATGACTCGGAGCCCGCAGTCTTGCCAGATGACTCGGAGCCCGCAGTCTTGCCAGATGACTCGGAGCCCGCAGTCTTGCCAGACGACTCGGTGCCCGCAGTCTTGCCAGACGACTCGGTGCCCGCAGTCTTGCCAGACGACTCGGTGCCCGCAGTCTTGCCAGACGACTCGGTGCCCGCAGTCTTGCCAGATGACTCGGTGCCCGCAGTCTTGCCAGATGACTCGGTGCCCGCAGTCTTGCTAGATGACTCAATGCCCGCTGTTCCACCAGATGACTCGGTGCCCGCAGTCTTGCCAGATGACTCGATGCCCGCAGTCTTGCCAGATGACTCGATGCCCGCAGTCTTGCCAGATGACTCGATGCCCGCAGTCTTGCCAGATGACTCGGTGCCCGCAGTCTTGCCAGATGACTCGGTGCCCGCAGTCTTGCCAGATGACTCGATGCCCGCTGTTCCGCCAGATGACTCGATGCCCGCTGTTCCGCCAGATGACTCGGAGCCTGCTGTCTTGCCAGATGACTCGGAGCCCGCAGTCTTGCCAGATGACTCGGAGCCCGCAGTCTTGCCAGATGACTCGGAGCCCGCAGTCTTGCCAGACGACTCGGAGCCCGCAGTCTTGCCAGACGACTCGGTGCCCGCAGTCTTGCCAGACGACTCGGTGCCCGCAGTCTTGCCAGACGACTCGGTGCCCGCAGTCTTGCCAGACGACTCGGTGCCCGCAGTCTTGCCAGACGACTCGGTGCCCGCAGTCTTGCCAGACGACTCGGTGCCCGCAGTCTTGCCAGACGACTCGGTGCCCGCAGTCTTGCCAGACGACTCGGTGCCCGCAGTCTTGCCAGACGACTCGGTGCCCGCAGTCTTGCCAGACGACTCGGTGCCCGCAGTCTTGCCAGACGACTCGGTGCCCGCAGTCTTGCCAGATGACTCGGTGCCCGCAGTCTTGCCAGATGACTCAATGCCCGCTGTTCTGCCGGATGGCTTGGTGCCCGCAGTCTTGCCAGATGACTCGGTGCCCGCTGCTCCGCCTGGTGGCCCGGTGCCCACTGCTCCGCCTGGTGGCCCGGTGCCCGCTGCTCCGCCCGGTGCCCAGCCTGATGTGCCTCTGTCCGATGCCCAGCCTGATGTGCCTCTGTCCGGTGCCCAGCCTGATGTGCCTCTGTCCGGTGTCCAGCCTGATGTGCCTCTGTCCGGTGTCCAGCCTGATGTGCCTCTGTCCGGTGTCCAGCCTGATGTGCCTCTGTCCGGTGTCCAGCCTGATGTGCCTCTGTCCGGTGTCCAGCCTGATGTGCCTCTGCCCGGTGCCCAGCCTGATGTGCCTCTGCCCGGTGCCCAGCCTGATGTGCCAGTCCTTGATATCCCGCCAATTACCGGATCCGGGTGGTGGAACATTTTGCCCATTTAGGACGATTTGGAGCGTCCTGAGGCCGCTCCTTGAGGGGGGGGTACTGTCAGGAATGGACTCACCAATTTGTTATCTGTTGGAGGTTTGGTTCAGTTTGTTTGCACTGTGTTTGTTTAGTTTTGCACTGCGTTTGTATTGTTAGTCTTAATAAATTATATTATTTACTATATCTGAAGCCTGCGTTTCCCTGTGTCAGTCCACACACTTCTGGTCATACCCGCATCCCTGACAGCTGGCGGCGGTTCGGAAGCGGGGGGCGCCGACTTTTGGAGCTCCATTCTCTGTTGGCTTCTGCGGATGCTCGTTGGAAGTCATTCCGATCCACGGCCCATAAACGCGTTCGGGATGCGGAGTTGGACCTACTCGCCTCTTCAGAGGTGGAACGGGCCCTGCGTTGGGCCAAACACAAATTTTATTCCTGTGCTAATAAGCCTGGTCCAATGCTGGCCAGGAAACTCAGTTCTGTGGGGAAACCCCATAAACCGATCCGATTGCGACTTCCCGTAGGTGGCTGTACTTCTAATCCCCAGCAGATTGTTTCTCGTTTCATGGACTTTCTTTCGCGGCTTTACGCCAAACCAGATCCCTTCCCTGTGGCTTAGGCAGAGGCATTCTTTCAAGACCTCCAACTTCCTGGACTATCTGAGACAGCGCAGAAGGCCCTCAACGCTGGTGTCACCGTACCGGAAGTGCTCCAAGCTATTAAATCTCTACGGTCTACCGCGGCCCCCGGGTCCAGACGGCTTTTCCAGCCTCTATTATAAGAAATTTGCAACCCTGTTAGCACCCTTCTTGGCTGACTATGTTAATGAGTTATGACTGGGCTCATTGCCCTCTCCGGACGCGCTTAGAGCTCATATTTCCATGATTCCTAAGACGACCGATGATGTGCAGGAACTGCAAGCCTTTCGGCCCATTTCTCTTCTTAATGAAGACCTGAAGATCTTGGGCAAGATTCTTAGCTTTCAGATGAATAAATACTTGCATAGCCTGATTCACAGAGACCAAGTGGGTTTCGTCCCTGGGAGACAGGCGGGTGGATAATGTTCGTGAGGTGGTCCATCTTATACATTATCTACAACAGCGGAAAATACCGAGATTCTTATTGTCCTTAGACATATATAAAGCCTTTGATTCTCTATCCTGGGAATATCTGCAGTTTGTGCTGTCTCGCTGGGGTTTTGGGGACTCTATTCTTTCTTGGATTCAAGCCTTGTACTCTTCCCCTTCGGCTTTCGTTAAATACGCTGGGTATTTCTCAGATCCCTTTCCTATTTGGCGAGGTACGAGACAGGGATGCCCCCTGTCCCCGGCGCTCTTTGTCCTCGCGCTTGAGCCGTTGGCTATGGTGCTCCGGACTGATTGTAATGTATCGGGGGTTCCATACGCGGGACAGGAGTTCAAGTTGAACCTTTTTGCAGACGATGCCCTCTTGACTCTCACTAATCCCCTGACGATGGTTCCAAATTTGCAACAGGTTCTGGAGTGCTTATCTTTGATTTCGGGTCTCCGTATCAATTTGAATAAGACTGTCGCGCTTAATATTACTTTGGCCTCAGATCTGGTTTCGCGCCTACAGTCCCACTTCCCTTATAAATGGGCCTCTTCTTCTCTCGAATACCTAGGCTTGACCCCCACCTATGACTCACTGTTTGGTGCAAATTACTATCCATTGCTTCGCTCTGTGTCCTCTCTTATGCATCCTTGGCAATTTCCGCACCTGTCATGGATAGGACGGATCAATTCAGTGAAAATGACCATTTTGCCGAAATTGTTATACTATTTTTGCACCCTCCCAGTGCGGATTCCTCCTCATTTCCTTTGGTTGCTTCAGGTGAAGATTATGTGTTTTATCTGGGACGATAAATGCCCCAGAGTTTCCAGAACTACGCTTTTTGTCCATAGACTCCAAGGTGGCCTTGCGGTTCCCAATGTAACTAAATATCAGGCGAGCCAGATCGCCCCACTATCTATGTTGCATGCTTCCTCAGACATACCTCTCTGGGTCCTGCTGGAATTACCCAATTGTGCCCCTATTGCGATTTCGACGCTTCTATGGCTTCCCCCTGCCCTGCGACCCACAGCACTGAGTCCGATTTTGCTCCATGGCTTACAAGTGTGGGACTCGGTACGTTACTCCAGTGGCCTAATGTCACCTTTCTTGCCTTTGCTCCAGATTACGAACAACCCCCTCTTTCCACCAGGTTTAGATCAATCAAGGGCATTTTCTTGCTGGGTGGCCAACGGTTTTTCACAAGTACGACACTTTTTGACCTCTCAGTCCTTCTGCACCTGGAATTCCTTTCGGGAGTCACGGGATGTCCCTGCGGCAGAATTTTTTCGTTACCTTCAATTGCGGCATTGGCTGCTCTCATTGCGGGGCACTTCTGTTTTCCCGTACCAGAAATCTGCCTTTGAACTGCTTTGCCAACAGCGTCTGGGCGCCCCGGGCCTTATCTCCCTTCTTTATGCAGCCTTGAATAGACGCTCGTTGC